TACCCCAATAAAAAGTTGAGAAATGGGTAATTGCCTATTTAAAACAAAAATAATTGGAACGTAATAAATATTGAGTTTATAATATATATAGAAGTATGATACAAATATCACAAAGGACAGGAGAAGAAAAAAAGAATATCACCATAAGGTTTATACACTTCCAAAAGTAGTGTAATACCATATGAAGGTAAATGGTGATAACTTAGAATACGTACACTATGAACCCCACAGCAACCATTAAAAAGGTGAAGCAGAGTTACAGCTAGTAAACCAATAAAGGAAATAAAATGGAATCATAAAATATACCCACTCTAAAAGAACTCAGAAAAAGAACAAAAAGGAAGTTAAAAAATACATGGGACAAACAGAAAACAAATAGTAAAATGGTAAATTTAAACCCAACCATATCAATAATCACATTAAATATGAATGGTCTAAACATCCATTTAAAAAGCAGAAATTGTCAGGATAAAGAAGAAATTCAATTATATGCTTCCTATAAGAAATCCACTTTAAATATAATAGCCCAAATATGTTTAAAATAAAAGGATCGGGGGGAGAAAAGGATAGTGACACTCATCAAAGGAAGACTAGAGTAGCTATATTAATAACAAACAAAGTACATTATAGAGAAAAGTATATTACTAGGGATAAATAGGGTCATTTCATAATGGTAAAATGGCCAATTCGTCAAGAGAACATAGCAATTTTAAATGTTTAGGCACCTAATAACAGAGATTCCAAATACATGAAGAAAATTTGGTGGAACTGACAGAAGAATTAGAAAAATTCCCAATTATAGTCAAACATTTCTGAACCCCTCTCTCAATAATTGATAGATAAAGTTGAGAAAAAAACAACAGAAGACTTGAACATTACTACAAACTAACAACGTAATGGTTATTTTAAAGAGTACTCCTTTCAACAACAGAATACAAATTGTATTCAAGTGCATACATAACATTTACCAAGTAGACCATTTTCTGAGCCATAAAACAAATTTCAAGAAATTTACTAGGATTCAGATCATATGAAATAAGTTCCCTGACCCCAATGAAACTAAATTAGAGATAAATAAGAGAAAAAGTTCTCCAAATATATGAAAACTAAATAACACTTTTCTAAATAACTCATAGGTGAAAGAAAAAAATCAAAAAAGAAATTAGAAAGGATTTTAAAATGAATGAAAATGAAAACATAGCATTTTCATTTGCAGAGAGGGAAATATATGGGAAAAAACACTTATTAAAAAAGAAAAAAGTTCTCAGATCAATAACTTCAGCTTCTACCTTAAGAATCTAGAGAAAAGAAGAGCAAATTATACCCAAAGAAAACAATGTAAATGAAATGAGGATGAGTGCAGAAATCAGTAAAATAGAAAAAGAGAAAAGCAATTAAAGACAATCTGTGAAATCAAAAGCTGATTCTTTGATATCAATAAAATTGATAAACCTCTAGCCAGACTGGTAAGGAGAGACAGAGAAGACAAATTAAGGTAACACTATTACAGATTTTACAGATCATAAGGGATAATACTATGAACAACTTTAGACCAATAAACTTGACAACTCAGATGAAATGGACAAGTTCCTTGAAAGACAAACTGTGAAAGCTCACTTAAAAAGAAACAGCTAAATCGAATAGCTCTATGATTATTTTTTTGTTGTGTTGAATTTGTAGCTTAAAATCTTTCCATGAATTAAACCCCAAGTCTAAATGGTTCCTTGACTATTTCTCCAAACATACCCAAGCATTGGCTATTTATACTAAACATATAAAAGGAAAGGCCAATTCTCAACAAACTCTTATAGAAAACTGAAAAGAATATTCTACCTGAGTCTATAAAGCTAGCATTACTCTAATGCCAAAACCAAAAGCATTACAAGAAAACACAATTACAGACCAATATACTTTATAAACATACGCCCAAAAGTTGTTAACAAAATTTTAGCAAATCAAACACAAGGTAATAAAAGAATGCTACATCATGAGTAGATGGGATAAATCATCCCCAAAATGCCAGGTTGGTTTAACATCCATAAGTCAATGTAATTTACTATATTAACAAATTCAAAGAAAGAGAGGGGGGAAAAAACCCACATGATTATCCCCCTAGATGCTGTAAAAGCTTTTGAAGAAACCCTGTATTTATTCCTGATTAAAATTTTCAGCAAACTAGGAAAAGAAAGAAGTTTCCTGAACTCGATAAAGAGCCATAAAATACATACAGCTACTATCATACTTAATGGTGGAAGACTGAATGCTTTCCCCTAACATCAAGAACAAAGCAAGGATGTCTTGTTACCTCTATTCAGCTTGAAACTGGAGGCCCTATCCTATCCAGAAAGTCAAGAACCAAGTTTAAATACACACAGATATGAAAGGAGGCAATAAAACTGCCTCAACTAGTACATGACAGGTTGTCTATGTAGAAAATCCCAAAGAATGTACAAAGAAAATCAATGAGGACTAAAACTGGGTTTCAATATGCAAGATTCATATACAAAAATCTGTTGCATTTCTATGTTGTGAACAATTGAGAATAGAAATTGAGAAACAACATTATTCACAATAGTATAAAAAAATAGGACATACTTAGGGATAAATCTGACAAAAGCTATGAAAGCACTTCTGAAAAAAAATAGACCTAAATAAATGGAGAGATATGCTGTGTTTAGGGGTCAGAAGACTCAATATAGTTAAGATTTCAATTCTCCCCATATTAGTCTACAAATTCAATTCATTCCCAATCAAAATACCAGCAGGCTTTTCTTTTCCAGTAGAATTTGACAGACCGATTCTAAATTTCTTGGGGAAAAGCAAAGGGAAAAAGCAGTGAGGATAAAGAAGAGGAAAAGGAGATAAAAGGAAGATCTGAGAGAAGTTGGGAAAAAGAACAAAGTTGATGAACTAAAACTACACAATTTTAAGAATTATTACAAAACCTCAGTAATCTAGAGACTGGTATTGGCATAAAGATAGAAAAATAGATCAAGAGAACAGACTAGAGTGTACGTTAACACACACATATATAGTCAATTGATTTTCAATAAAGGTGCAAATGCAATTCAATGGAGAAAGGGGCAGCTTTTGAACAAAATGAAGCTAGAATAATTCCTTAAAAAAATAGAACCTCGATCCGTATCTGATATCATATAGAAAGATTGAGAAAAAATGGATCATAGATCTAAATGTAAAATCTAAAAGTATAAAACTCCTAAAAGAATACATAAGAGAAAATGTTTCTCACCTTTGGTCAGGCAAAGTTTGCTTGTATACCACACCCTAAGTGTGAGCCACAAAAGAAAGTGATCATAAATTGGGCTTAGGAGTTTTGTTCCTTGAAAGACACTATTAGCAGATGAAAAAGACAAGCCATAAAATGTGAAAAAAAATTTGCAAATCATCTGTCTGATAAAGGGGTTGTATTCAGAATAAATAACTATATTCAAAAATGAATAAGAAGAACCCAGGACCCTCAGTTTTGAAAATATGGGCAAATAAGCTGATGGAAAGTTGCTCAAAATCCTTAGTTATTATGAAAGCACAAATTAAAACCACAATAAGATACTATTACATACCTTCTGGAATGGCTAAAATTAAAAAGACTGACAACATCAAGTATGGATAAAGATGCAGAGCAATGTAAAATCTCATATACTGCTTGTGGGACTATAAAAATAGTATAACTACTTTTTAAATGTTTGGTAGCTTATTTTTCAAATTGAACATTTATATACCACATGACCCAGCCATTCCAAACCTAAGTATGTATCCAAAATAAATGAAAGCATATGCCCACAAAATGTCATGAATAAGTACGTGAATGTTCATAGCATCGTTATTTGTAACAACCCTGAAACCCAAGCAACCCAAATGCCTATGCCATGGAAGAATACTCAGCAGTAAAAAGCAATGAGTTATTCATTCATACATGCAAGAATGTGGATGAATCCCAAAAGAATTTTGCTAAGTGAAAGAAAACAGACAAAAGAAAGTAAATACTGTATGATTCCACTTACAGAAAATCTTTAAAAATGTAAAATAATCTATAGTGACAGAAAACAGATTGGTGGTTAAATGGGGATTGGGTGGGAACAGGGAAGAATGTGTAGGCGGGATTGTAAAGGGGCATGAAAAAACTTTTGGGGGTGATGAGTAAGTTCATTCTATTGGTAGTGATGACATTTTTCACAGATGTGTATATATATTAAAACTTGTATCTTTATATAGTATTTTTAAATTTTTTCTTAAAACTTACATTAAAAAAATAGAGTCTATTGTATGCCAGCTATACTTCAATAAAGGTGTTAAAAGTAAACACTGTGTTATTGTTGCTAGTTGTAGGAAATTGGAGCAGGGGTAAATCTAAATGGAGAATGAGAAAGTACAAATATTTAACACTCCTTACACGTAGGGAAGAACTTCCCCTGAGTTCATTTCTTTTAACCTGACCAATTTTGCTGTATTCTGTCTGAGGGAATAGAATGCAGTATAGGTATAGCGTTAGTGGTTTAGGGTCTATTTGATTGTTATATTACTTCAACTCTTTGTTTACTGTCCTTGGATTTCTTTTTTGGCCAATAAACCCCTCTTCCATGAAGTGTTCAACGGAAAGAAACGAAGTAGAACTCAATCATGTTTCTTCTTGTTAATAACTAGTTGATGAAAACTCAGTTGGGAACAAATGAAAACTATTGACTAAAATTAGATATCAACATTAGCTATAGCTTTTATTTTTTCCTTCTATCCCCATCACTCAGAGGCACATATGATTCATTTTTTAAAAACCTTGATTAACTCTGATATGAAAATGAAAGAGATTAATATAAAACTGGAGCTTGTTATCCAGAGTCAGGTGACATTATCATTTGAAATCAAAGTTACTTCAAACAAAGTCAAGTGTTTTAGAAATAAAGTGAGCTCTTTTAAAAAATGTAGCTGGTTGCAGAAAGTTAAAAAAAAAGTTGCAATCTATAAACTTTTCATTTACTACCTACCTCTCTGGCTCGATGGAGCTGTGCTTGCTCAGTCTTAGCGATGACATCCTGTATTGTGAATGGGATCTCAAGCTTAGGGATGTCTGATCTGTCAAGGACATCTTTGTACCTTATGGTGAAATCCAAAGTTTCTTTTTCTGCTTCATGTTCATTATCTGTCTCAGTTTGCATTTTGATAAATGTTTTGGAAAGTTGAGTGATTTTCTTTTATTTCTTCTTTTTTCACAGAATATAGGGAAATGTTAATAAAAGTGTCCCATAGGAAGCTAGAAGAGGCCTTTTCTGCTCCTTCCTGATACTAGCCATAGTATTCCAGTCCTGGTGATGTCATAATAGACCCATTGTGACTTTATCATTGACTCAAACAATTAAAGAGTGCTTACTCTATGCAAAGAACTAGGCATTCTATATGCTGTGATGGTTGATGGTGAAGGGGGAGGGAGGATAGGAAAGAACAGACAACAGGAATGCTAAAAGAAATAGAAGAGATAGTTCTGCTTAAATGAACTTAAAGTCTAGGTGTTAGAATTCAAGATCCAGTGTGTGAAATGTAATCCTGGTTCGTCTCTCTTCCTGAGGTTTTTGCTTAAGAACTTTTAAGCCTGTAATAGAATAATTGTGTTGCAACTTCCTCAACTGCCCCTCAACTTTTCCTAGATATGTAGTAACTTGGAAGACAGTATTTGGATGAAGATCACACTCTGCACTACCTAGTGGCTCGTTTTTTCAAGCCTGACTAAAGAAGGCTTTGGAGTTCCATAGTTGGCTGAGAAATTGAAAGGAACGCTTAGAGGCTTCTAACTGAAGGAGGAGTACTTTGAGCAGCTCTTTTGATTGCAGTGGAGGTGAAAGGATATAGGGGACAAGCAATTGACAGATGGTTTTGTTGGCTATGTAGCTTTTTTATCTTCTAATTTTAAAAAAATGTGAAAAAGTCCAGAAAGTAATATAACAAACAGCCATAGGCCTATCTCCTAGAATGAACAGTTTTAACATTTTTTCATATTTGCTTCAGATATTTTTAAATAAAGGAAAGCATTAGAGATTAAAGTTGAAGTCCCCTTGGGCGTTCTCCCCAGACTCCTTCCCTTCCCCTTCGTCCCTTTTCAGAGGCCTTAACAAGCATGAATTTGATGTATTTATGCTTTGTCTATGTTTACACAGTTTTACTGCAGGTGTATAAATTCATAAACTACATGATATAATTTTGTAGGTTTAAGGTTTTATACAAATTGTGGATGTATAACAGTTTCTCTACAAGAACTTCCTATGTTGAGTTCCTATGGTAAACTTATTGTACACTTAGTCCTATGTTGAGTGCTTGTTGTAAATTTGTAAAGTTAAACAATTTGTGTTTCAGTCCTTCAGAATGGGACACAGAGGATCATAAATTGTCTTTTAAAAATGTTGAGCAATTGAGGGGAGGGTGTAGCTTAGTGGTAGGGCACATGCTTAACATGCACAAGGTCCTGGGTTCAATCCCCAGTACCTCCATTAAAAAAATAAGTTAAAAAATATATATCAAGCAATATATAAGAGCAAAAATATTTTCCCTTCTCTTAAAGATCCCCCTTATCTAAGTTACTCCCTCCCCTGAGTTCCCAACTCATTTTGTAAACTTTCTCTTATAGTACTTATTGAAGTGTAACTATATATTATTTGTCTCTATCCATTAGTTGGTGAACTCAAAACCAGATGCTGTACTTTAGTTTTCTTTTTCCAACATTTGGCATATTATTCCTCATTCCTCCATGGAAACTGTTTAAAATTTGGATATCCATTACAGTTTAAAACTCCTCTCCAATGGAAACTTTTAAGCCTCAGAATACTTTCCTTTATTGTTAGACTGCACCCTCTCCCAAGTCATGAAATATTACTCACTCCTTTCCCATAATCACAATTAAGACTTTATTCAAGAAAGTTCATGTTTTCTGAAAGGATCACAGTTAAGGAGAATCATTTTTTTTCATACATGTGAGGTTTGATGAAAATATCCATCATTATCCAGCATTTCTTGATATTATCAATTAACCTATTTAATTACTTTGTTGATAATAATATCAGATTGTGAGATCCTTAAATAACTTATTTCTCTTGTTTTCTTTAAATTGCTTACCTTAGCCATTCAGAAAGTAGCCTACATGTTTGTCAGTTAAACTAATTTAGCATTATTGTGCTCTCTCTCCCTCTCGTATTTTTTTTTATGCAGCATGGAATTCATCAGCAACTAAGAAATGAAGGCTTTTAAAAGCAAACTTTAAAAATCTCTTCAATTTGACAAGCATTTGTTGAGACACTACTATGTGGCTACCATTATCTTAGACTGTGAAGAATATATGATAGGGTACCTGTGAAGAAACAAAAAGAAGAAAAGAATTTAAGATAGAATATAATATTCAGGTGCTAACAAGGGACATGAAGAAGCGATCTGTGGGGAGCAGTCTTTGGGAAAACCTTATGGAGAGAGAAGGTGGATTGACAAATGAAGGCATTCCAGATAGGGAAGACACCCTGAGCCATGGCTTTGGAGGTGAGTGCTGAGTTTGTATTTCAGGGGAAAAGTAAGGAGATTGGTTTAATAGAGATGAAGTAATGTTGAGTTTACTGGGGGATCTGATTAGGGAGAGTATGGAACCCAATATCGGCAGTTCGATGGGGGAATTAATCTGATGTCTAAATGAAAAATGAGATTCATTTGAGGTTAAGTAAGGGAGATTACAAGGGATCAGAATGGTAAGGTCTTGCAAGCAAATAGTAACAGTTTGGTGAAAATGAAACCTTCAATTTAGGAAGTTTTTTGAAATAAAAGAATAGGAAAAATCCACTGGAGAGGAGCAGCACAAAATTATTTCAAACGATGAGTGTCTGAGCTAGGATATCGAAATGGGACTAATAAAGGGAGGAATAAATCCTAGCAGGTGTTGCTAAAGATAATAAGAAATTTGGATTATCTAACAGAAAATTATAAAGATAATTCAAAACTTTCTTTGTTTTTATTGTATTTCATTCGAATTACTGGCAAAACATCAATACGAGCTATCTAGACTAAGTATTATGAAGTAGCTTTATGTTGAGCAGAGATGTGGGTACCTAATTCAAGGGAATTGGAGGCAAAGTTCTTTAAAGGTGTGTCTAAAGGAAAACCGCCCTCCTAGAGGGCTCCTTCAACTGTAAAATGGGGAAAACAGTATTTACTGCATTGGACTGTTTTAAGATTAATTAACGTAAAATACTTAGAATAGTGCCAAGCACGCAGTAGGCCTTTAATGTACAGCAGTTGCTATTACTGCTGAATTTTTTTTTCCTTCCTCTACTTTTTTCCTCGGAGCCGCTGCCTTTTCGGCAGGGCTGGGCGTTTTTCAGCACAATTTGCACAAGCTCGGCTTTTTCTCGGAACTAGGTCTTGGGCCACGAGGACTGTTATTACGGCCGCGGCAGCTATCTGGCAAGGCATAACCCGCTTCCGAGATTTTTACGCACCCCCGTGGCACAGAATGGTGCCCTCCTCGGATCCCTCCCCCACCCCAGCCAGATGATAGTACAGTCCATACTGCGGCTGGAAAAGGTAGTGCGAAAGTTAAGCGCGCTGAGGATTTTCTCTTCTCCCGGAAGCAATTGTTCTCTAGAGCCGGAAACAGTTGCTGTTTCAAGGGAGGTGGGACTGGGCGGGTCAGGCCGCAGCGGCTGACGGCAGGGGAGGAGCCGGGTCCACTGCCGGGTGGAGGGGCCAGGCGAGTGTCCTTATCCTAGCGTCTGGGGCTCGGGCCTGTAAGCCAGTTGGAGTAGCGTCGGCGAGAACGATTGGGCCGAGCGGAGGAAGACATGTTGCTCTTCGTGGAGGTGAGTGGACTTGGGAATCTTGTCCTGCTCTGAGAAGGGCAGGAGTGTGGAGGCGCCGGCCGGTCCCAGCGCCATGTGACTTTCCAGGCCGTACGGGGCGCGGAACCGGCAGATAGGCTGACACAGCACCTGGGCCGTGCAGGCCCGCGGCTCCGCTCTGCGCGCTCGCAACACTTTAGGAGGCGGTGGGAGGTGAGGGCCGTGGTGGGAGAGAACTGAAGGTGGAGGATCGAGGCTTGTCTGGTGCGGCGTGACGATCGGAGGAAGGGGAAAGTGTCCCATATGGACCTCCTAAAGGAGGCAAGCGGGCGGGCGTGGGGGGGGGGGAGGCGGAGTCTGCGGAGAAAAGGGTAATCAGGTGGGCGCGTTCCGGGGGTGAAGCGAGGCCTCGCGCGGCCCTCTGGGAGGAGGCGAGCAACATGTGGGGCCGCGGAGGGAGGAAGGTGAAATTCGGTAGGAGTGTTTTGAAAAGAAAGTTGAAAGCCTCGTTTTAGCAACCCCCACCAAATTTTGTTTGGTACCCGTCCGTAGGTCTCTGGAACGTTCTTTGGGTGGAAAGTGAGTTACCGTGAACGGAGGAGAAGCCAATAGGGTTTGGAAGCCTTGAAAGGCACCGCTTTGACCTTTTGTAAAAGTTACTCAGGCAGCGGCTTCGCGTTGAGGGGCTGGTTTTATGAACGGATTAAAACCCTTTACAAGAAAAATTCCAAGAACGAGACAAACTTAGCTCGGGGAAAGCCAGGTGTTTTGGGCGTTTTGGGTTTTTTTGTATTGCTGTTTAACAATAGAAATACTTTTTATTACTTTAGTTGGAACGTCTGCTGTTGGCCTATTTTAATTTGAAAGGTAGTAGGTATCTATTTTACACAAATACGAGGTTTAATTTCTCTTATTTCTGTCTTTCTCTTGTGTGCAGTGAGCATCAGCTGACTGCCTGGCTAATGCTTTGAGTAAATTCCAGATCATATTGTTCTTGCATAGTGAAAACGTCAAACCAGCAAAGCTGCAACTTGGCAACTTGGCACTTGTTAACTATGCCCATAAAAAGAATCTTTTCAATGAGGGAAGGAATTTACAGGTTGTATATTGGTTCGGGAGCCAGGGCCAGTCTATGGCGGGTTTTTATCAGAGGGGCGGGGGGATCTTAACCTATAGTATTCTGGCATAAAGTAAATATATATGCTTTTACTTTTTTTTTTTAATCTCATTGACAGTGTATAGGTGATAATTTTGAGATTTTTAAATTGAGTTTTAAAGAGACAGATACCTTGGAGTATGCCTAATATTAATAATAAACATTCATTGAAACATTCCAAGTAAATTATGCAGAG